CAGGCGCGGGTGGGCGCCGGCTCGGCTCGCGGTCCTGCGGGGTCGCGGCTTCCCGGCGGGCAGACGGCGTCCTCGGGGTGTCCTTCGCCTCCGGGCGCCCCGCGACAGCCTCACTCGTGGAGTTGCTTCGGGAAATCGCGGCCCGCTGGAGGTGGGTGGGGCGCTCGCTCCTCCCCGCCGGGCCGTCCGGCTCCGAGGCGCGAGTCCTGCGGCGCCCGTCCGCTCGGTCGGCGGGCCCGGAGAGGGCGGCGGGTCGGCGCGACCGGGTCGGCGCAGGCTGGGCCCACCGCGGCGGGTCGCTTCCGGGCCGCGTTTCCCTCCCGGCTCCGCGTGTGCGTGGGCTCCGTAGGGTCGCGGCGGGACGGGCTGCCGCTTGGCGTGAGCAGGGTGGCTTCGCGCCCGGAGGGCGAGGGCCCCGAGGCGCTCCGGAGGGAGGGTGCGAAGCGGCCCGACCGCGCGGAGCGCGCTATGCGAGGATTTTCTTTGCTCTTCGCCTTGATTTTGTGGCTCTGGGGCTTGAACCCGAGGCCACCGCGCCAGGCAGGCACCGCGCTCTGAGCGACGGCCTCAGCCCGGCTGGAGGTGCGGCTCCTGTCTGGTCGCCCGCGCAGGCCTGCGGTTGCACCCTTTGACCTGGTCCTGCAGCTGGGTTGCAGGCGCCCGCGGTCGTCCTGTGCAAACTACGGTTGATGGGGCAGAAGTGGCTATTAGACCTTCTGTGTGATTTTGTCCACATCTTTCTGTCGCTATGTGTAATGAAGATGTTTTTAATGTTAGGACTCGAAACTTTTTTTTTCTTAAATAGGCTCGTGTACAAAAGTTTGGAAATCTCTTGTATATTGCTTAAAAACGTGTCCCGCGACAGAAACAGAATTCTGATACTCTGGGAAGGTTAGTACCATCTCTTTAAAATTTCAGTTTCTAACTCAGGACTCTTAAATGTGGGAAGTATGTATAGCTGTATCTCAGAATCTGTCTGTAGTAAGTGCAAAAGCATTTAGTAATGAGCCTGGCAAAAAGTAAGTGGCCAGTAAAGTTGTTACCGTGAAAGAAGTGTTTTACTTCCCAAAGGTATATTTACTGAGAGGCCTAAAAGTCAGATTTTTAAGGAAAACCTGTCAAAATCTTGACTGTCGTTTTAAAATCGAAATGAGGGAATTAATCAAAGATGTACTTGGCTGACTAGGGTGTAGCTGCATGGTAGAGTGTTTAGTTTGCCTGAGGTCCTAAGTTCAGTCTCCAGCACCAGATAGAAAGAAATGGACTTGGCTTACTTTCAGGAATTAGTCATTCACAATTTCACCCTGGTACTGTATTACGCATTGTATTTAAGACATCATCAGCCACAGTTATGTATGAAAACCGTTAGTCCAGGTGATGGCCAGGTATAATGACTTATGCTATACTTTCTTGTCTTGGTCTGTCTTTTCTCACTTAATGATTCTATCTTTGTAGCCAAACTGAAACTATGTTCTGTAGTTTTCTTACACTCCTAAATCTATTTCTCCCATTGAGTATATGCTACTGGCCTTTCAAATGTTGTAGGAGCTCTTTAACTGTAGCATTTTCAAACAAAGCAAATGGATTATTGAATCACCCCTTGACAGGAGACGGAACCTCTGACTTAAGAAGTTAACTTTACGTGAGAAGATCAAATATAACTGAGATCTTACTGGCAAGACCAAAGTTTTGACAGACTTAATTAGAACATCAGAAGGAGGCACAGAATTTTTTGTAGTTTTAATAAAGGATTGACAAGAATACAAAGAACAAATGAATTACCTATTTCATTGCTTATGAATAATTGTCAATTAAACTCAGTTGTTTATACAGTAGGAAACTTGAAAAGGCTTCACTTTTGGTTTGGCAAATGGGTTTGGATCTGGGCTCTGCTAAATTGTTGAAATACATAAGCCTTTATAAATCAACTAAATTGTGGTTTCAGTCTTTGGCTTGAGCCTCTGTTTCTCTTTTTGTAAAACAAAGATCTTACCTCATAAAGATGTGGGAGATCATGGGAGTAAAGTTTATCTCAAAAGCTAAGTATTACTCAACAAATATTCTACTCACCTGTCTTAAATCTCTTCTTTTTTTTCCTCTCATCTCTGGTATTGCCAGTTTTTATTCAGTCTTTCATAATTAGAAGCTATGATTTTCTTTTGCTGTTCTTGCCATTTGGTTTACCTAGTATATAGTGAGATTGCAGGGGTGTTTCAAGCACACCTGAGTGTTGATACTTTGTTATCTAAAATGCTGTGCTTTGTACACTGCTTCCCAATTTTGCTGATCTTGAATTTTTTAATGAACTTAAAATTATTCGCTTCCATAATTCTTGTTTGATTTCCTAATATATTCCAGTGTACTTAATTTAGTACATTGAACGATAAAGTTGTTTAATGTAGAATGAATGTCTTTTTATGTAGGAAAAGTAGAGTTGGTGCATGACTTATCTACAATCCACAGCAGTCAGAAGTAGTTTTAAAAAAAAATCCTGGTATTTTAAATTCTTTTCTAAAACTTGACAGTGATAGTTGTTAGGTCTGTTACTATTATTAGTTTCTATTTTTATGTTTATGCTAATTACTAATTGTTATACATTTGGTAGAACTTTAAGAAATTTTAGTCCTGTTAAAAGTTATATGATCTTGGGGCCAGGGAGATGGCTCATTGGAATAAGTGCAAGGGCCTGACATGATCTTTCAAATTTTCTACACACCTGTATTTTGTAGTGAACTGACACCTTTTGTTTTTCCTTTGAACTTGTTTTCTTTGCTGATCTTCACTGTTTCCACAGATGGAGTTTGCTTCCTGTAAGGAAGAAATGGTATTTTTATTAATTCAGATTTTTAGGTGTGGTGGTACATACCTGTTACCTGAGCTTCTCCACGGACTGAGGCAGGAGGACTTATACGTTCTAGGCCAGCTTGTCCAATTTGGCAAGTCCCTGTCTCAAAATAAGCAGAAAGAGCAGGAGATACAGCACTATCGTGGATTATTCCTGAATTTAATCCCCATTGCTGCAAAACAAAATCAACAACAAAAAAGCAGCAAATAAATAAACATAAAAAAGGTAGTTTTATCAGTATATTCAAAATGCCCCAGTAGATGTTATGTGTATTCCACAACACACACCCATATATATTTTTTTTTTTTTTTAATTTTTTATTTTTGCATTTGTTTATCCTATTGGGAACAGTTTTATTATTCTTTAACTGGCAGGACGTTCATATCTGTTCATGAAGATCCATTATCATTAAATTACAAAGTGATTGTTATTTTAAAAGGTAGGATCCTTCAGTGTTAGATGCAAGTTACCTTGGCAACCTGGTAGCAGACTGCAAATCTCTGGTTATGCCCAGTAGTTTACAAAAAATTCATCAAGTAGTGTTACTTGAGCTCCTCAACTTGGCCTCCTGCATATCCTTTCCCTAGTTTTACTGGAAAACTGGTTTTCTAAAGTTAAAATTATAAAGTCAGTGATGTTTGAGTACCTCTTGTCAGATCACATATTAGGCATTAATAAAAATGGTATTTAAAATGGTAATAAATGTTAGGAAACCAAAACGTAATGGCTTTTCTTTGTTCTTTAACAAATAAGTAATTGAGAAAAGAATAGAGAATGATTGAGAGAAAAGACCGTGTGATAAGAAGAATAATGGCCTGGTGAAATTTTGGGTTATTTAACAAGGTGAAACACACTGCTTCTTGTTATTAGTTTGAAAATATGTTTGTTATTGAAGTTTTGGCTTCTATAAGAGATACATTCAGAATAAAATTAAAACATTTGCAAAAAAGATGCTGATTTCTTTGTAGCTATGGCTGTAATTTTTTAGGGGGTTGGGGAGTCCCAGAAGACATTTGTTTACCGATAAATGTCCTTATTTAGATGTTAATTCATATACCTTTTAAGTAATATTTGAGTTATAATATATTAGGTTCTTCATTGCTTTCAGGATAGGATGAAGTCCTAGTTGTTTAACATGGTGTACTGCAACTCTTCTCAAATTTTGAGTCACCTGAAGTCTTAAGATTCTGATCCATTTGCTCTACAGTGAGGTCTGAGATGCTAGATACCTAATCAGTGTGCCACACTCCTACTATCAAGCACGTACCGCTCTGAATTCATTCTTGCTTTCAGTGCCTTACCCTGTATGGCACCGTGTCATAGACTTTGTTCTAGTATCCCCATAGCAGGAGTTGCTAAAGTATAGTGCAGTTTCGTAGAACTCCAGAGATCACAAGGCCAAAGCTGTTTTCGTGATAATAGTAAAATATTTACTTTTTTTCTTGTCATTCACTTAGGAATGTTGAGTGTACTTTTCTAGTTTGTCTTTGCCTAGACTGGCAGAAAATATGCTCACGTTTTATCAAGTTTCTCAGTTTTAATTTTTTGTGATATAGAAACCAAAAGTTCTGTAGTAATTTAAATGATCACAACCTTTGAAAACTACTGCTGCAGGTATTGGGCCAAGGACATAAAACACTCAGATCTCTTACAGAATGTAGAATTTATGTAGAACTGTTTCCTTCATTCCCTGTGGCACTGCTGGGCTAGATAGCAGCTTCAGTTCCCGTGTGGCCAAGAGATACTGCCATGAGCATAGCCTCCCACCTGCCCCCACCCTTGGGGTAATGGTGAAAGTCCTGATTTTTCACTGAGCCTTTTTTGACAGAAGCCAGTGGATGTAGGGATGATGATGACAAGTAGCACCTTACCTCTTGGTGTGGTTAGAAGTCTGGGTGCTCTGGTCTTCCTGACACCATTGTCATAGGTCCCCAAGTGCCCTACCACTGCATGTCCACTAACACTATCCCAGTTGGACATTGAGATGCTGCCTTTTAGCTTGGCCAGTCTGGAAATTCAGCTGGCCTTTGCTGCTATGTGTGGGGAAGGAGGTATGATTTTTTTTTTTTCAAGGTGGTATTTGCGTGGAACGGCATTTATTGTGTATAAAGGTTTTTTTTTTTTTTTTTTGTCCTGCCAGGCTGCCCTTCTCTTAGGCCTTTGTATAGAGTGAGCAGGCTTTAGTTGTGGGTCTTTTTCAACCCTGTACCTTATGGTATTTCCCAGTTGTTCCATCCCCCTCAAGTCTGGGATATTTGAGGCATTACAGAAGCACAGGGAGCTTAGCACTGACCTTCCTTGAGTCCAAAGTCTTTAAATGGTGTTCACCTTCCAGGTTTGTCTGATGCTTATTTTATATATTATGTCCAAGGTTTTTAGTTTCACTTCGCAGAAAGAATACAAAAAAAAAAATCTACGTCCAAGAAGTTGATTTGTTTTTTAACTTCTGGGAGGAGGCATTAGAGACTTAAACACTAGCTCTACTGCCTACGCCTTATATTTAATTGTGTAAAAATATGTGAATAAACATAAAAATGGCCTGACTGAAAAATGAGTTGACAAAGCAAAAAACTAATTTGGAGAAAAATGTTCAGAATACTCTCAAACTTTATAGAACTTATATAAAAAGTGCCTTGACTGCAGATGAGGATTGTAGAAGACATAATCTAACTTGTAATAAGTGTGAATCAATGCTTTAGAAAACAATTATAAAAAGTTTTATGTGGTTTATAGCGAAACTGTAAAAGCCATTATGTAAGAAAGGACTTGAATGTTTTCATAAAATTAACCTTAAAAATATTATCACTGACCAGTAGGTTTATTTATTTTCTGTATTTTAGGGAAGGGTCTAGAGGGTGTTCAGGATCTTACTACTAGATTGGACTCCTAGTGATTTGCTTGTTTACAGCCTCCCAACAGCTGGGATTACAGGCGTGTGCCACCATGCCCAGTCTCAGTCGCCATATCAGCAAGAGCTCAAACCCCAGCCCCTATGTCTGCTTGCAGGTGCTTTAATCCGCTGGGCTATTTGGTTGGCCCTGTTGACCAGTAGGTTTAAGTCATGTTTTCTAAGATGTTTACATGTCTTACAGAGAAGACATTTTAGAGCCTAAACATACGGGATAAACAGCTCATCTCATTTAGTAAAGCAACATGCAATAGTATCAGATGCTGACAGTTTTCCAAAAGATACTCCAAGATATAAATCTATAATAATATTGCTACAGAATTGATTCTGTCAAGGTGTAATCTTGGAAGACAGTGGATTAAGACTTTAAACACTGAGTGGGTATCCTTGTCTCTGGACACCCACTTTTCCACACACATGTATCGTAAGACCAGGTTCTGGTCCACGTGCATTTCACCTGAGCTAGCTGACACCTGGACTGACTTGAACAGTTCGGTACACTTCTATGAGAGAGGGCTGCTGGTGCTGTGGGGGAGTGAAGTCAGGAACATGGTACAGACAAAGTTACTGTGGTCCAGAAGCTGGGACTAAAGTGGATGGAACCATTCCTCATATCCTTGTATCTTAGTCCTCAGATTCTTTGGCTTTTGGGGGAGTTGAGACAGTCTCATATATTTAGTTCCAGCTGGCCTCAGACTCGTGGTGGTCCTACTGCCTCAGCTTCCTCAGAGCTAGGATTATATGGATGCACCACCACATCAGGCTCAGATTCTTTCCCTGTATTTTAGTTTATTTTTGGTGAATTAAACCTAGATCTTAGGTACAACCCAACCCTTTCTGTCTTTTGTTGTCAGATAGGCTCTTACTGAATTGCCCAGGGGACTTTGAACTTGAGATTCTGCTTCAGCCTCCCAGAGTACTAAGTTTGCAGGTATGTATCATCCCCACCCCAACATTTTTATTATGTTTTCCTCTCTTATTTAGCAAATAATTATTAAGTACCTATTATTTTAAATTTTAAATGTATGTTAGAGAAGTTAAAGCAACAATCAGTTATAAGGTTTAATTTTAATCAGAGACCTACCAGCTTCTCATGTTTAGTGTATATTTAACAGCATCTTGTATAATTTTAAATATAATTTCTTAGGTTTATGTTTTGTAGTATATTGACAAAAAATAAACATGGACTATTTGGGGAACATTTAGGAAAATATGAATGAATGTTAGGTAACTGCTTCTGAGAAAATACTTATACCATCTCTTAATAGAATAGAAAGCTTCATTAACAACTTTTTCTTTGGTGAATTGGTATCAAAACTTTTAGGTAGGGTCATGTTGACAAATTTTGGTCACGAATAACTCTAAGATTAGCTGATATAGAAGATGAAAATGATTTTTTTAAGTGTGATAAATTTGTTATCCTGGCCACTTGGAAATGAGAAACCTCCTCTAGTCTCGTGGGCCAAAGTGTAGTAGAGCTAAATCTGTTCAGAGGCTCTAGGAGAAATCTTTTTTTTTTATTTTTATTTTTATTTATGTGTGTGTGTGTGTGTGTGTGTGTGTGTGGCCAGCTCAGCCCACCAGGGGGCGGGGCTGGCTGGCATGTGGTGCTGGGGGATTGAACCGTGGTCCCTGTGCTTTGCTTAGCTTGTTCTAAGTAGGTAATTTAGACCACTGAGCCATCTCACCAGCTCGGAGAAATCTTTTTATTTGTTTTTGCCAGAATTATTTGACTCAGAGGCTGTTTTCTGTATGCAGTTTAGAGGACTTTGATTTTTAAAGTAATAGTGGATGGACGTAGTTCTTAAAGTTTAATGAGCTTTCTGTGATTTTTGTTAAATTTAATACTACTGCCTTAACTTTATCATTACTGTAAATGTTTTTCAGACCAGATGGCGAAAAGAAAGGAAGGTGATTTCTTCTCTCCTGAAAATGCCAAGAGACCAAGACAGGAATCAGAGAATTTTGATAAAGATAGTGATGAAGATGAAGGCACAGTTTCTTTGACTAAAGGCACCTCTACTTTGGTGAGTACAAAGTTACAAAATTAGATTTTCAGTTGGCCTTTCTCTCATGTCTGTTTTACAATGTCATATTCCATGATAATTCATAATCAGGAAAAAGCAATAGGTCTGTAAAAAGCTAATGTAAAAATAACTTCCGAGTGATTTTGAGATTTATGTTAATTATCAGAAAAAGAGAAAGTAATGAAACAAAGAGGAACAAAACTGACAAACCTCTAATAAGACCAACAAAGAGAAAAAAGGAAGACAAAAGGCATAAATTAATCAATGTTAGAGTGAACTAGGGCTATGACTATAAACCTTGTGGACATAAAAAAGATCAGACATATGTAGCAGCTCTGCCACACAAAATTGAAAATTTAGGTGAAGTGGACCAACTTTTCAAGCAACAATAGCCATAACTAACCAATATGGAGTAGACTACTTAGATAACTTTGTAGCTATTAAGGAAATTTAATTCATATTCTAACATTTTCTGTAGCTTTTTTTTTTTTTTTTTTTTTGATACCAGGTGTTGAACTAAGGACCTTGTACTGGCCAGACAGGTACTTCTGCTACTGAGCTACATCCTTGGCTTAACATCTAAAAAAAATCTCCATAGCTACTTGGTATCTCTAGAGAGGTGATCATTAGAGAGAACATAAGTTTAGAGCTCTACACAGTCTTTTTCAGAAGAGGGAACATTTTTTAATTCATGATGTTGGTATCAAAACTGAAAGAACTAGGAAAAGGGAATTGTATACTCATTTACCTCATGAATCTGGACAAAGAAATCTTTAACAGATACTATAAAGTAGACTTTCACAATATGTAAAAAGAGTTATACACTGATCAAATGGCTTTTTTCCAGTCGTGTGTAATGGCTCGTATCTAGATGTATCCCACCCCCCCCAAAAAAAAAGCCTCATTCACTCTTCAGTGGGGCTTTTCATAGTTGGCTGGATCTAGGGTATGTGGACTGGGATGAAGGGTATGCCCTAACTGATGAGTTTAGCATAGATCTGGGTATGGATAATGGAAGCCCCACCCTGGATGTGGGTGGCACCAGTCAATAGGTTTGGAGCCTAGATGGAATATAAAAGAAGACAAGGGAAGAAGGCTGCTGTTGCTAGTGTTGGTAGCTGCTTGCATGCTTGCTGCTGCCTCCTCTCTGCCCTGCTATGGACTAGTGTTCCTTTCTGGTGCCCTTCTTTCATGCCACCCTTCCTTGGAGCCAGCCAACTATGGACTGAAATCTGCAAACTGAGCTGAAGTAAAACTTTTTTAACTTGTGGGAGTCAGATGTATTGTCTTAGCAAGGAGAAAAGTAACACAGAATGCAAGCTTGGTTCTGAACCTAAAAATGAATGTATTCCTCTATATTACAGACTAAAGAAAATAGAGCATATTATGTCATTAGATGCAACAAAAGAGTTTCAAATATTCAACATCCTTTCCCATTAAAACTCAGAAAAATTCAATTAGAGGAAATTTCCCTTAACATAATAAGGAACACTGAGAGAAACCTACAAGTAATATTTGTAGTGGTAAAATACTGAATTCTTTTCTCCACAGATTAGTAATAAGACTAGAGTATCTGCTTTTATAACTTACTCGCCATACTGTTGGGAGATGTAGCTAGTGCAGATAAAGGAGGAAAAAGAAACAAGACACAGAGATTAGAAAAGAAAGAAATAAATATGTCCCTATGTGCAGATGACCTTACTGCCTAGAATATCATGGGGAACTTACAAAAAACATCTAGAACTAAAAAGTACATTTAGCAAGGTACAACTTATAAGATAAACATTTTTTAAAATTATATTTTTAGGGCTGGCCAAATAGCTTAGTGTATTAAAGTTCCTGCAAGCCAGCACAAGGGCCGGGAGTTTGATCCCTGCGCCTGCTGTGCTGGCCCTGCTCCCAGGGCTCGCTGAGACGGCAATTGAGACT